CACACACAGACACACATACACACACACAGAGACGCACACACACACACACAGACACACACAGACGCACATACACACACACAGAGACGCACACACACACACACACACACACGCACACACACAGACACACGCACACACACAGAGACACGCACACACAGAGACACGCACACACACAGACACAGACGCACACACACAGACGCACACACACACACACACACAGACACACACAGACACACATACACACACACAGAGACGCACACACACACACACACACACACACACACAGACACACGCACACACACAGAGACGCACACACACACACACAGACACACACACACACAGAGACGCACACACACAGACACACGCACACACACAGAGACGCACACACACACACAGACGCACACACACAGACACACACAGAGACGCACACACACACACAGACACACACACACACACAGAGACGCGCACACACACACACACACACACACACACAGACACACGCACACACACAGAGACGCACACACACACACAGACACACGCACACACACAGAGACGCACACACACACACACAGACGCACACACACACACACACATACACACACACACACACACACAGACACAGACACAGACACACATACACACACACAGACACACGCACACACACAGACACACACACAGACAGACACACACACAGACACGCATACACACAGACACACACAGACACACACACAGACAGACACACACATAGACACGCATACACACATGCACGCAAAAAGACACTGGGGCACACAGACACAAAGACAAAGACACAAAATTATAGATACACAAATAAAAACTACAAAAAGACACACAATGCATTTCTGCATTACACCTCAACTGATATGAAAATCTTGTGGCTGATACCGATTTAAAGTGGCTACAAATTCTGACTGATATCAGCCAATATGATTTAACATTTAGATTTCAGATTTCAATCTTCCAGCATTTTACTGACTGATATGATTGACAGTTCCCAGTTATCATTTCTTAATCTCACAAATAAATAAATGAATGAATTAAAAAATACACAAGCCAGCAAGCAAACAAGCACTGGGTGTGCGGCTACCCAGAATTCTGGGTATTGGTTTCTTTAAATTTCCAGATTTTTTTTTTTTTTACGTTTTATACGTTTCATAAAAAGGTTTTTATTGTTTGTGTGTGAGTTATAACATTGTTCTCATGCTAAAGGTAAGTTTTGTATGTATTTTACATGCTTTTGTTATTTGACCATGATGGTATTTGTTGTCCAGATTCTCCAGTTATATATATTTATATAGGGCTGATTATTATTGGTCCAATCCCATTTCACCCCTCTCCCCTACCACCCAGACCTACCCCTCTGTTCTGTGTGTTCATGTCTAGGGGTAGAGTGTCCCGATTCTTGTTGAGATAGAGGTGGGGGGGTGAAGTGTTGGGGCTACATGACCCTCCAAACTGAGGTTTTTCAGAGACTCCAAACAGAGAGTTATGAGAAAAAAAGAAAAACAGGCAAATGGAGAACAAGAGACCAAAGAAACCCACAAATGTGAGAATTTTCTCTGTTAAAAAATGATAAATCACGGTATTATCTTAGTTTAATGGCGTTTCAATATATTATGGTCCTTTTCTTCACAACAAGCATTGAATATCTCTAATAGTATGCTGACGTTTCAATTTCCCGTTCCACCTTAAATAGTCCAGCAGTTCTGACACCTGAAGCACCAGAATGTAACTGCTGCACCATTTAAGGTGGAACGGGGAAATTCAAACAAGAATCTGTTGAATATCTGACTTCAGCTTCATATCACTGAAGAATTAAGGGTGGGTGATAATAAATAATTGCCCCCTCTTTGAAGGCATATGATGCCCTAAATGTAACTAAAGCCCAGCAGTGAGGAGCTGAACTTTACCCTCCTCTGCTGTCACTGCAGACTGGCAGGGTCGCCTACAGAGCAGCACTGGTAGCTGTTAATGAAGTAATGCTCTTTTTATTTGAGGGTCCCATTTCAGAGGGAAGATTTCAACCTCTACCCCTCGTAACTCAGTTCCAAGGGGCAAAGTGACACTCGAAATCAAGGGGTAGGGGTAAAAATAAGAAATGGGACTGGGCCCAAAACATCAGCTAGAGACGATGCAGCACCAACTCAACCTACTGAGCTTTAAATGGAGCTGTTTTAATTGAAGCTTTGATTACCTCGAAGTAGTCTATGGTGCTGAAAGCACTCAATCACTCAGGATGAGCCACACTGCTAGCATGAGTGCTGTTTGTTACAGGACTGGATCACATTCACTGCACCCCCCAGCTGGTCTGCCCTCAGTTTGACTGGGGTAAATGAACACTTAGACAAAAGCCACACTCCTGAAAGTGCTCGGTCAGGAATGTCCCCAGCTTAAACTCTGCTTGTTTCCCTTAAAATACACAAAACAAACACGAGGCGGCTCAAATCTGGAACTTGAAGCGGGCGAGAGGAGAGAATAATCGGTGAAAATTCTGCTGACGTGAACTCAGCGGAGAACAGCGGGTCCAGTCTCGAGCACCCCTGCGGTTTTTCCTAGACAGAGCCAAAAACTCTACATCTATAATAAAGCGCACGAGTCCTGCTGGAGATGATGTTAACGCTACTGTGATGAATTACGGCACATTACGCTTTTCTGACTGCATCATGGGTATCACCAGTACTTTGTCAGCATGGATAATAAAAAAGACTGATTTTGACCAATTATTGAGCCTGTAAACAACAACAACAACAACAACAACAACAACACAACAACAATCCAGTGTTTAGTAACTGCATTAACTGCTAAGTAACGCGTAGCTGATTGGATATCAGGCACCATGACATCATCTTGTTTATTTTTACAGAATGAGCTCTCCTCCTGTGGCTGGTGAGTTAAAACCTAGGCTAGTCATAACAGAAGTGTGTCCTAAGTTTAGGTTCATACATTACAGTTGCACAACACAGACTAGTTTTAACATCGAACTTAGTAGTTACTAAATATTTACATCTGCCCCTCAGCAGCTGACAATCTTGGGAAAACCAAAGGACACAAAAAAGACCAAAAACATGATTCTTTTGGCTTTACTTACAGCTCTGATCATCACCCCAGCTCAGTGAGACTGAGTCTGCTGTTGAGTCAGTTAGCCAGAAGCCGTCGTTTAAAAAAAGCTGCACATTTGGCTGCCACAAAAACATACTAAAGAAGAACCTCCAAAACTCAGCAGCCAGCGTTCTGACCTCCACCAAGCGCACAGCTCATATCACTCCTATTGGCTTCCTATTAGTTCTAGGATTTAGCACAAAATCCTTCTTCTTACCTTCAGGGCTTTACATGGTCCGGCCCCGACATACCTTTCTGATCTCGTTTCATTGTACTGTCCCTCTCTTGCTCTCCGATCTTCTAACTCTGGAAGCCTCACAGTTCCCTCAACTAGACTTTCTACTATGGGTGGCAGATCTTTCAGTGCTGCTGCCGCCAAACCCTGGAATTCTCTACCTTCCACTCTTTGCTATTGCTCTTCTTTGTCTTCCTTCAAATCTCTGCTAAAAACCTTCCTTTTTTCTTCTCTGTAGTCTTCCAGATTTTTTTTTTTTTTGATACTATGTAAAGCGTCCTTGGGATTGTGAAAGCACTATAGAAATTGAAATTATTATTATTATCATTATTATTATTATTACAGCCTTGGTCTGCTTTTCAGTTTTACTCAGTTTAACTTGTACACTTTGTTCACATTTTTCCACATAACGCACGAATCAGTGCAAGCTGCCGCTGCGTTTCCATGGCAGCGGGTTACTGATTGGTTCTGAACGTGTTATCGCCATGCTACGGCGAGGAACACATTAGATAGCAGTTACCAGCCAAGACACGGCTTACTGACTGGTGGTGCAACCGAAGTTTGTAAACTGAGGCCTTAGTGAAGACTTCACACACAAACTCAAGTACAAACTACACAAAAACCAACACTACTCATTTGTGCAAAAGTTGACTTAAAATAAAAAAATCACTGTACCTTTCATCTTTTTCGTGGCATTGCTGTTCTGTTGGTTCATTTTATCTAAAAATTAAAAGGTATTTTTCATTTTTAGACAAAACGAGAAGCGCCTTGTACTTAAATACTTACTTACATATATAAACATATCGCTGCTGTCGGATTAAAAATTCATAACTCCGTTTTTATCGTTTTTCAGATTTTGCCATAATTTGAAAGTGTCTGTTGCCCTTTACATTGTGTGTAAATTTCATGATGAATAGACCAATAAAAATGACCCAAAATGACTTGCAAAAAAGTCTGGTTCCATTGACTTACATTAAAAGTAAAGTATGTTTTTTCCTTCTCCTGTAAAGTTACCATTTTGGAGATTTCTTCAGACAACAGCAATGTGTGTATATATAATTAGTATCATTAAAATGCCTTTAAGCACCTTTTATTTTCCCATAACACCCACCTTTACGTACCACCACGTACCATTATCCAAAGATTAGATATACATAAAACTACTTCACGTTATTTAAAAGTTAGGGAGATGGGATGATATCCGAATTGTATTGCAAACTAGTTTTAAAACTATTGGCAAATATTTGCTTAAAAAAATCTGCACAGATAGATTTGACCGATATTTCATACTGATATTCATACTGACATATTTATACTCTGAACAGCAGAACATTTGGATGATGCTGAGCTACTGTGTTAAAATCTCTGCAGGTGGATCCAAAATGTTATAAAATGTTTATGGATCCACATCAACATCAGCAGAAACGAAATATATATCACACATATCTCTCTCATAACCGTTCAAGACGAACGTACGACCACTTAGTGATCAAAGGACTGTTCAAAATGAACACAAAGCTACTGAAACTATCCACCACTTCCAGCCGGGATAGAGGGACTTGTCCAAACCTGAGGTCCAATCCAATAATTACGCATCAGCCTCAACTCTAGTCTACCAGTCATAATCCTGGTTTCTTTCTTTCTTTTTTACCTGCATCCTGCTGTATTTCCAGCCCCGGATCAGTCGCCTCTGTGGCTGGCTGGTTTCTCCAGCCTATATTCCCCATCTATAGCCAGATTTAATCCACAAGCCTTTGTGGTTCTGGTCCAAACAGGTCAGCTTTGGTCTGGAGACTTGGTGTTCGAACTTATTCCAAACAGAACATGCTCACGTTTTCCATGCCAGAGTCCTCAAAGCCTTCAGGAGGTTTCTAAAAGCTTCCAGGCCGAGATGTATCTTCTAGATCAGAGGATGAGGTAGAATATGATCCAGTGACAAGTGTCCAGATAGAGCAACACCGCCCAGTGTGCGATGTTAGTCATGTATGTTTCAGTCCCATGACCCTGAATGACTCAGTCTTCAGCATGTGGAGGATTCTAAGAATACATACTGGAATGGAAGCCGTGCTGTAACGTCCTGATTCCGTGGAGAGGAGTGATGAGGCCGGGGCCGTCCCTGTTCAGCCCAGCTTAGAGTGTGTGTGTGTGTGTGTGTGTGTGTGTGTGTGTGTGTGACGCCTGCGAGAGAGATCGACCGGGCTTACAACACAAACACAGCTCCAAAACACACACTGACCCGAAACTAATTAGCCAACAGAAAGCCAGCGCGTCCTTAAACTCATCCATCACAGGTTGTTGTGCTTGTTGCAAAACCCCAGGTGAGCCCGAGCTAATCAAACACACCAGGAGCTTCCTTAAGCTGCTAATCCATCCATCCATACATCCATCTATCCATCGCTCAATCCTCTCCCTCCTGTGTTCTTCGTTCTCAGCCCTTCTCCTCCCTGATGGGAAAAGTCCTGAAGCTCTGTAAGCCGTACCAAACAGACGCGCTGCTCCGCCTTGCTCTTTCTCACACACACCAACTCACACTGTCTAATTATCGAAGCTCAGTATAGCACGAAGATGCTTTTCATTCTGAGAGGAAAAGTACAGTGTTGGGCTCAGAAACCCCAAATTACAGTTTATAGATCTAAACCTAGAGCCCAGCGACGGCACTGAGCACACAGCACAGTCCATCTCCGCCAAGCCCTGACCAATCACACAGGCAGAACAACATCAAACACCACTCCTCAGCCAATCACAGCACAGCACAGGGTAATACAGCCAAACTCCAACCAATCAGACTGACAAACACCACTGCTCTAGCCAATCACAGCACAGCAGAGGCTAATGCAGACAATCTCCGACCAGTCACACAAACACCACTCCTTTAACCAATCACAGCACAGCAGAGGGTAATACAGCTAAAACACTGACCAAGCAGACACCACAATACTACTGTTTCAGCCAATCACAGCACAGCAGACTCCAACAAACTGATCTGACAACATAAAACGCCACTCTGCCAGCCAATCTCTGATCAATCACACAAAACAACACAACTTCAAACGCCAATTCTCCAGCCAATCACACCAGAGTAGAGGCCAGTATGTCCAATCTCTACACCTATAAAACACCGCAACACCACGGCTCCAGCCAATCACGGCATAGCAGAGTGTAATATAGCCAAAACCTAACCAATCAGACTGACAAACACCACTCCTCCAGCCAATCACACCACAGCAGAGGGTAATACACCTAACGCTAACCAATCAGACTGCCAAACAAACACCACTCCTCCAGCCTATCACAGCAAAGCAGAGGGTAATACACCAAACTCTGACCAATCACACACACCGCAATACCACTGCTCCAGCCAATCACAGCACAGCAGAGGCTAATGCAGCCAATCTCTGGCCAATCGATACCACAATACCATTGCTCCAGCACAAGTATATTCAGCCCAGTACTGACCAGTCAGACACCATAACACCACTGCTTCAGCCAATCACAGTACAGCATGGGAACACTCAGCCAAACTCTGACCAGTCAGACTGACACCACAACATCAAACACCACACAGCACAGCAGAGGCCAACCAACCAGGGGCCGGCTCAGACATCAAAGCACATACAGACTCTGACCAATCAGACACCCCAACATCATACCAGTCTGACTTTCCAAGAACTGCGTAAAGCATCACACAGTATGAGAAAACCAGTCTGTGGAGGGACAGAAAAAGTGGGACGTAGAGTCGAAATTCATCTAAAATTAACAGGCAAGGGAAAAACAAAACAGCACTGAGTACAAATAAACAAATAAATAAGTCAGTCAAACATCTGAGACAAAAACACAACAGAGCCGTTATTCTGGGACCTGGACCATCCCTGAAAACGCTGATCACACAAGTCACAGCAGTTTTCTCTGTTTTTGCTGCTGTGTGCTGTGATCATCCTGACCAATCTTAGTCCCACAGGAGCTTCTGTGGGTGTTGCGATGAGTCAAGATCATGTAATCCAACAACAGTAGAACTATTTTGGTCAGTCTTTTTTTTCATAGATCACAGAAGACTCAGCATATTTAATAATTTAATTACAATCTATCTGATGTTTAATTGATTTAATACACTGCAGGGCTTTCGCTCAATCTGGGAATAGTTTACATCTGCACATTTTGTGATTTGTCAAATATGGCTATTTATTTACGGCAAAACATCACGATGTAACTTTATCCCATTATCACTCAGTCATACATGTACGACAGCATTTTAGGGCCACTTTGAGAATAAGGTTGTAATATCTCCTGAAAAAAAAAGGTCATAATATTATTTTGAGAATAATGTCATAATATTTAAATAAAAAAGTTGTAATATTTTGAAAAAAGTCATAATTTTTGGAGGATAAAGTGGGCTAACCGTAGAGGGGCTGCTATAATGCGTTGGGGTCTCGGTTGCTCTACTGGCGCCGGTGTCCCACTCACTCCTGTCTGCTTGCGGATCAATCACTTTGATCATCATTCTCACTGTCTGTGAAACTTCATGCCCTCTCTGAATGGGGGGAGATGTAGCCCCGATAGCCGTGTAGACGACCCTGTCTGAGATTCTCCTTCAATAAATCAGACAGACAGTTTCCTCCGAGTCCGTCTGGCTCTTTATTCTAGATAAACACAGTTTCCTGCTCAGCCATTTCAGCCGGTTCTTATACTATAACAGGCTGGTGCTGATGAGCAGGAGAGACAGGGAGACTGAGTGTTTCTTTATGGGTGAATCGATATGAAGGTAGAACTCCACCAACTCACCGCCCCTCATTTAACAGGAGGAGGTGCTGCCTTCACTTTGCAAAGCCTTTGGCCACAATATTGCGAACTTTCCTGGTATTAATGAGACTTTAATGTCGTAATTCTACGACTTTTTTCTGTAAGTAGTACAACTTTTTCTCAAAATATTACGACTTTATTCTCGAAGTCTACTATTTTTATTTTTATTAACAGCGGCCCTAAAACACCGTCGTATATTTACACCTACGTATACTGTTCACTCACAGCAGACAGGACCTGACAGTTAAATGGCAGTATGTGTGTATTTTCTCTTTAGCAGCACTCAGGACTGTTCATTTTATAACTACTATGCTAATTTAAATATCACCTGATGCCATACTTTATTCGGAAACATTAAAGTAGCATCGATACAGGATTTCTGGGCCATTTCACATACATATCTGCCAACGTTGATGCCAATAAATAAATATTAACAAAATGTAGAAGCTGGGACTACATCTACCTGGTTTAGCATTAAAGAGAAACGTAATATTTCTGTAGTGTTAAAAATAAAGATGCACTGACACCATTTTTTCAGACCATGTACATGTTTTTAAGTACTTGTTGAGTAATTGACTTAAAATTAAGCTGTTGTAAGTGAGAGCAACGTACCTTAATAGCTAAATCATTAAAATCTAGCTGATTTGAAATTATGTGCATTAGCTGGCTATGCTACATTAGTTACACTGGATTGCATAACGACGCAGTGGAGAAGAGCAGGAACAGGAAACCTCCGTACAGCTGTAAGTAAAGTATGTTTCATAGTTTTGATCCTCATTGTTCTCCTTCGACAGCAGTTTCTATAGCTCAGTGAGAACAATCAAATCGAGGTCAACGCATCTGTAGTGCTCAGTTGTGGAGTTTTGCGCCCTGTTGGAGACTTCTGATTGGCTGGTTGGGCTGTAGTTGAATGTCCTCTAAATCCAGACACACTGTGTGATTGTAGAAATGTTGTTCTTTAGTGACTCACACTGTGCCTTTGAATAGAGCACCATGTACAGACAAAGCCTACAACATATAAACTCTGTACGAAACACTGTAAGAAAACACTCCGTCTGATTGACAAGCAACATGCTATTGATATCATTCATCATCATAACACGGTACTTGACTTGACTTTTACTATTTGCAGCCTTGTGGAAGAGGAAGAGTTTAGAGGAACAGAAAGGCTGGAGCTGCAAAACAGACCTAGAGGAGAAGATAAAACAAGAGTTCATTCAAAACACACAAACACAAATACTGAGCCAGTTCCTGAGGACCCCCAGAACATGGTCATATCCGATTCCATCCACATACCACCAGCTCTAGGAGGGCGAAGGCTACCACAGGCTTCCTCCGAGACCTGTGAAGCGCCACTGCATCGTTTCGAACTGCTGCTAATACAACATCATTGGACAGCTGAACATGATTAAGAGGAGAAAACCAACCACCAGTTCTGTTACGTCAGCTAACAGACACCCGCGCTGAGTGATGGGAGCGCTGGGAGAAGGGGGGCCGTCCTACCCACCAAGAGAGTGAGGCCAATTGTGCTCTCTTGGACTCCAGGCCACGGACGGCTGTGGCATCACCAGGTACCGAACTCGCGGCGTCCTGATGACAGGGCCAACGGTTAGACGGCTCAGCCACTCGGGAACCCTTTGATTTATTCTTTAACCCAAGCTCACACTATATGGGCTAAATGAACATATAGAAAATATATCAGCACATTTTCAGTACTTCTGATTAGCCAACATCACCATATAAACAACTTCATTTGCTCTCTAACCCCATAAACGGCCGGTCTTATTACACACTTCTACAACCTTAGAATAGCTCAACCAGTTTGCACTGAAGCCTGTAGTTAGTATGTAACAG